TTTGGCCTCCCTGACCCAGAGTGCTAGGATTACAAGTACAAAACACTGTGCCTATCTTACAGTTTTGCTATTTACATCTAAATAGTTGAGCTGGAATTCATTTTGGAGAAAAATATGGTATGGGGGCCAGGGAGATAACTCAGAGTCATAAGCACCTGCCTGGCAAGAGCAAGGTCCGGAGTTCAATCCCCCATATAATGATGATGATGATGATGATGATGATGATGATGATGGAGCCGGCCAGATAGCTCAGTGGATTAAAGCGCCTGCTGAGGCAGAGCTCAGCAGCTGGGGTTCATCCTGGCATGCCTTGCTGGCCTTGCCCCCGACGCACACTGAGACAGTGTTTGAGACTGGGCATGGTAGTGCATACCTGTAACCCCAGGGTTTGGGAAGCTGAAAACAGGAAAATCACTACAAATCCAATCTATGTAGTGAGGCCCTGTAGACCCTGTAGATCCCTCTGAACTAAATACAAAATAATAATAATAATAATAATAATAATAATAATAATGTGGCATAGATCCAGGTTTCCTTTTCAAAAAACAGCTAATTGCCTTCAGGCATACTTTGTTTCTATTAAATCCATTACTGGTTAATGCCAGGTGTGGTGGCTAATGCCTATAGTCCTACCACTCAGGAGGCTGAGGCAGGAGGATCACTCAGAGTTTGAGACCAGCATGGGCTACAAGGTCAGCTCAAGGATATCCTGAACTGCTTATCATATTCCTGTCTAAAAAAAAATTCCTTCACAAGCAGATCAATATATTGATTACAAAGTTTTTATTCCTCTTTTTTCAAAGTAGGCTATCTTTTGGACAATGGCTACTTCAAGTGGTTTGGAAATTTTTCTAATCTCTAATTGCACAAAATTCTTTCCTCCCATCTTTTTGCTTCATACAAGATAACAGGCTCTTTAATGACAGTTTTATCTTTCTGTAGTTTGGAGAAGAGATATAACAGCAGAATGACCTTACATTTGCCCTTCATGTCAAAATACAAGTCTGACTGGAGAGCTTCAATTTCCTCATCTCAGTGTGACCTCTAGTTTGATGGCTGCCTTTTTTTGTTTTTTTTTAATTAACTAACTTTTTTGTTGGTACTACTGGAGACTGAGCTTAGTACCTTCACATTGTACTCCATCCTCAGCCCTTTTTAAATCTTCTTAAAATTTTGAGACAGTCTAAACTGCCCAAGGTGGGCTTCAAGTTGAAATCCTCTTGGAACACCCTCCTAGAGCGCTGTGATTACAGGGATATGCCAGTATGCTTGGCTTAAAAAACCATTCATTTAGCATTTATTACATTCTGAGTTTACGGGGTGATGGGAGCAATGTTGCTTAACTCAGTCTATCAGGCTATGACTACATGGTAGTTAGAAACAATGGGCTGAGAAATTATAGTGCAAACAGCAACCTACATTTAAATGACAATGCAAAGGGATGAATAGAAAAAAAAGAGGCCAAGGGCGAAGTCTAGAAGATCCTGGAGAAGGAAGATTGGAGAACTGAGCAGTGCTTCTGTCTATCCAACTGCCCATTGGCCGGAGTCCCACGCACTCAGCATACCCGTATCCCTTTTCTCCCAGATCGCATCAGTGCCACCCTCTGATTCAGTCTCTGCTTCCTAGCCACCTCCCCACCCTATACAGTTTCTAGACTTCACCCATAACAATCGCAAGATGATAGCCTGCTATCTTGCTCCACATCTGAAGCTGGCTCGCTCCCCATTGCCTTGTGATCTAGTCCACAGAGTCTTTTCCCCTCCAGCTTCTTCTAGTTCCTCTTTGTTAAGGTTTATAGCTGGATGTTTTCCCAAAGCCTCAAGTGCTCAAAGGTGGGGCTGTGGAAGGTCACTGCATTATGGGGGCATAAGCCTCTCCTTTACTTGGCAGGCATTTTGTCTCAGCAATGAGGACAGTGAGTTAAAGACTGTCCCCATTGTATGCTCCAGCCATACTGATGCTTTCTTGCCAGGGAAGTGCTTATTCTACTGAACCAACAAGACATGTTTTTTTTTCCCCCAGAATGGGGGATTGAATTCAGGCCCTTGTGCTTGCCAGGGAAGTGCTTATTCTACTGAGCCATCTTCCCGGCCCCTGATGCTTTCTTGCAATTCTCTAACCAGCCACACCTTCTGGGGCTTGGAAGTGCTGATGTGCCGTTCTCCGCCCCCACTTACCCACATCACTGGCCTTTTCCTCCACTTCCTGGGCAGTGATCAGAGGTACATGACCTTCTATACTGGGGCCAGAGCTCAGGGACACAGGCATGTTAGGCAAGCTCTCTACCACTGAGCTACATCTCCAGCCTGTATTTCTAGTTTTTGTTTTTGTTTTATTTTTTTAACTTTTGGTACCTCGGATCAAATGCAGAACCTTGTGCTTGACAAGCAAGCACTTGTGGCACTGAGATATATTCCCACCTCCTTGGTTTTTGAGACAAGGTCTAGCTGTATAGCTCAGGCTGTCTTTGACCTCACTCCAGAGCTCTGGCTTGTCTCAAACTCACAATTCTCCTGCTTCACAAATGCTGGGATTATAGGCGGCTGCCACCAGACCTGGTGGTCGTATTTTCCTTCTTGAGACCCAGGGGGACAGGAACATCTATTTCAGAACCTGGTCTGGGGGCCGGGGAGATGGCTCAGTAGAATAAGCACTTGCCTGGCAAGCACAAGGGACTGAGTTCAATTCCCGGTTCCGCACAAAAAAAAAAAAAAAAAAACCTGGTCTGTACTACCCTAGACTTGGAGCCTAGAGAGAGCCCTGCAGTCTTTGAGTCTGGATCTGAGACAGGGAAGGAAAGTGTCTATTTCCCTGAGTGAGAGATTTCTCCTGGCTTCCCCTAGGGTGCAGCTTCTGCTTGCTGAGCCAAGTAATTTTTGCCAACCTGGCCAGTTCCCATCTACTGCCAGTGTGAATCATTTGCATAATTAATTCCGCAACACATAGACATGACTTCTGCTTTATATGTTGTTATTTGGTTGGAGAAAAAACAAGTACAAATATTTTTGTCTTGCTGTGTCTTATTCTCCCAATTAATGTTAATAATTTAGAACTAATGTGAAAGCACCTGAGGGGCTTTTTTCTCCACATACATATTTTACTGGTTTATCTTTTGTGACCTAGGACCTTCTTTTTGCTTCATACACTACTCTTATTTGATGGTTTCATTCATTGAGATGGCTTAGTATCTCTAGTATGACAATGTAGCCTAGATCTTTTGTTTTTTCTGTCCTGTACCGTATCCCGAAACTGCTCCTCTGCAACTATTTGGGTAGCTATCACTATCTGTCCTACTAATTCCAGGTACTCAAGAGTCATAAAGAAGCATGATTTCCCCGAGCTACCTAACAGCCGTACTCCCATCTGCTTAGTCCATTCAGCCTACTGTAACAAAACACCAAAAGAATTGAGTAGTTTACAAACAAACAAAAAATTATATCACACTGTTCTGGAGCCTGGGAAGTCCAAGATCAAAGTACCGGCAGATTCAGCGTCTGGGGCGGGCCCATCACCCGGTTTCCTGATTTGTAGATGGTTCCCTTTCAGAGTCCCTACATTGTGGAATGGGATACTTTAGTAATTCCCCCAGCGCCACCCCGGTGACTACTCCACTTCCTAATGCCATCACCTTGGAGGGTTTCAACAAAGGAGTTAAAGGGCAACACCAATACACACGCCATTGTAAAGCCATCTGATTCATTAGCAAATCCTTTCCCCACTACCTGCATATTCATTCAGCAATTGTTTCCTCCTTCCCAAAGCCACTGCCACTATCTTAATTCAAGCCACTGCCCTCTCCTGTTTTCTCCTACACTTGCTGTCTCTGCTTCCTGCATTTAACCTGCTGTGGTATTTTAACCGGGTCACAAACAAGTCCTGCCTCCCTTGGCGCCTTCATTTAATTTTCCTTAAATTCTTATTATTTCGGCGCTTTTTCCGTTCCTCCACACGTGCCAAACTCTTTCCCTCCACTTTGGGCTTAGTATTTTGGAGCTTTGAATTTTAATTTCGTGAAAGGCTTTTCTTTTAGCTCTTCCCATGGGTTCTTCTCTGCTCCAGCTGTGGCTTCGAAGGTCACCTCTTCAGATAGACGTGCCCTGATGCCTTCAGCAAATTTGGCCTTCCTACCGTTCACTTCAAGAGCTTCCTGGTACTAATCACAATCTGCAATTGTTAACTATATTTTACGTTAATTTTAAAAGAAATTAAAAATATATGTCATGTTTCTCCTCTAGTAAAACGGGAAGATCAAATTCCATTATGCCAGTTAAGTTTGAATTTCAGGTAAACGATGAAAGATTCTCCGTATGTAATATTTGGGGCATATACTGGAAAAAAAAAAGTACTCGTTATCTGGCATTCAATCTTAACTTCACTTCCTGGAATTTTATTTACTAAGTCTGGCAACTTTACTCTTCAGGCGCCTGATCCTCATCTTACTAGTTTTGGGTTGTACCTTCAGGCCTCACCCACAGCGTGGTATTTTGTAGGTGCTCCAAATTGTTGTGTATGAATGAATGATCTGCCGGCTGCGTTAGGTTTTTTTTCTCAACAGCCTTTTATTTATCACAATCTCTCCCACTCATTGAAAATGCTTGTTTAAGATCGTTTTGGCAAGTACAATGTATTACCTAACTTCTTTGTTTTCCCTTTCTACAAATTGCCGTCAAAGTATCTACAGTTATGTTGACTTTAGAATTAAAAGTTAATGTCAAACAAAAAGTTTTGCACCGTTCCCAGCTCACTAGCACAGTCAATACATTCACTTCTTTATTCAATGAAACCTGTGCACTATTTTAGCACAAAGCAAAAACGCGCGTTAGAAGAGAATGGGTGGGGGTAGGGAAAACGGTTAGAGTCGGGCGCCGGCCAGAGCGCTCAGGGCTTGGGGAAAGGGGAGGAGCGAAAGGAGAATGACGTAGAAGACGGCCAATAAGAAAGCTGAGAACCACTCCCCCTCCCTTCCCGTTTCAAATTCTAAGCTTCGTTTTCATCCGGGTCCTTCAGCCTCGTTCCCGGGTAGTATAAAGTTTGCTGTCTCCTTTGTTCGCCCTCGTTGCGCAGTAGTGCTAGCGGCTTTTCAGTTGTGCGCCGGTACACGGTAGCTGTCATTTGTGCTGGGCTGTGTGGTCAGCCCCTGTCAGCGAGCTCTTGGGAGCTTGAGACCGTCGCCACCCTTCCGGTATGTGTTTCCTTAGTCCATTTTCCTCAAGCTTTCTCGCTCTGTTAAAATTTGGGATTATCTCCCTGGAGATGGGGGTGGCGGGCGCCATTTTAAGACACCCAAAGGTGCCGACCTAGGTAATGGGGCCAAGGAGGTCAAAGGGAAACGCACCGGGGGGTCGTTTCGTCGCATCCGCGCAGGGAAGTTTGGCTGTCGCCTGCGGGCGCGGGGGCGGAGATCCGGGCCTTTGTGGGCTGGAGCGGGGCGCGGAGCGAGCGCGCCACCGCGGTACCTGCCTCTCCGGGACAGCGCTGGCCGTTGCCGGTAGGACTTGGGTAGGACCTTTCCTAGTTCGTGGGCGGCCCTGCAGAGGAAGTCCCCTGCATTTCCCAGCCGCGTTGCTGATAAAAGTTAGTTGACTGACTGGTGTCGGTGTTGCTGGGCTGACTCCAAGTGTCGCCATTTTGTCTTCCACGCGGTCCTTACCGACGAGTCTTAATTGGGTTCCGCTGCAGTGTTGGGAGCGAAGCGAGTTACTCTGTGCGTGCCGACGTTCCGTTACTTAATCTCAAACGATGTTGACACTGATTTTTTTAGCGAGGCGGTATCCCTTCGGGCGGGAAGGCAGGGGCTGGTGAAGATGAGGCGTAACTTGGCTCGAGTTTAAGATTTCTGCTACTGCTTAGACTTAACTGGGAAATTCTAAGGAGAAGAAGGGGAGCCCTTGGAAGAAAGCTTTTGTTGTGTGTTCAGGTCGGTCGTGCGTCCGGCCAGCGGCGACCTTGAACGGGACTGTAGTCAAACCACTGGAAGCGGTGCGGGAGGTGTACGGGCTAAGTAATTGAATCCCAGAAAGGCGAGAAATTTACGATGGAAAGTTGAGTTGCCTTTTGAGATATTTGAATAACTTATTTGAAAAACAGCCAAGGAAAATAAAGATTAATGCCAAAATTAGGTTCGGTCTTGTAACCAACGTGGTGTAAAGTGCGCTGTTTAACTACACTACTTGATTTGAATTGGTCGGTCTCCCACTGCGTTCGAAGCCTATAGGCATCTTTACTTATTCAAAGATATTTTAAGAAAAACACGACAAATGAGCCACATAGAGGTGTCCGGTTAAATTTAGGGAACTTTCTCCAGGGAGATAAAACTATATTCTTTTTCAGCAGACTTAACCAGGGGAAAAATGGTTGAAGCAGATCGCCCAGGAAAGCTCTTTATTGGTGGGCTTAATACAGAAACAAATGAGAAAGCCCTTGAAACAGTATTTGGAAAATATGGACGGATAGTGGAAGGTGAGTTATCTGAAACTGTATGTGTAGTTACTGTAATTAAAAAGATCAGCAGTGATGAATTTGTTTGCATTGATCTTCTGACATGATAATGCATTTTGTCCTCTAAGAAGTTCTGAGCGTTCTGCTTACAAGATCTATTTAAATTGTTTCGTTTGAAGTAGGGTGACACTATTTCTTAAAACTTTTTCAGTACTCTTGATGAAAGACCGAGAAACCAATAAATCAAGAGGATTTGCTTTTGTTACTTTTGAAAGCCCAGCAGATGCTAAGGATGCAGCCCGGGACATGAATGGAAAGGTGAGGCTCCTGCATCCAAGTCTGGCCCGGGAAAACTTGAATTTTTGCTCTTTTTGAGAATACACGTGTCTAGGACTTGCTGATCATAGGAATTTGTGTTACTAATCTGAAGTGTTGCCTTAATTCCAAACCCAATTTTTATAGCCACAGTTACAGAATATATAATTGTATGATATAAGATACTGTATTTTATTGTGAGATCTGTATATCATAAGCTGGCTTTTACTCTTTGGTTATTTTGATAATAAGTAGATACCTAGGCTTTGCAAAATTTTGTTGAACAGGAGTACAGAGGGTCACTTTGTCTTGATTTGGTTTATCAGTATCTTTCATAAAGACTGACTAGAAACTTAAAAGTGGCAAGGTCTCCTTTATACAAAAACTATTTCTAGCATTTTTCTTTCTGTGGTGAGTACAGTTTTTAATTAACTATTTTGGTGTTATGAATGTTGGATTGGCAAATTCTTTTTAAATCTTAAGGACCAGAGAAATAGCTCAGCGGCATAAGTGCCTGCCTGGCAAGTGCAAGTTTGATCCCTGGTACCACCAAAAAAAAAAAAAATCTTCATATAGCTTATCTTCTTTGGTACTAAGAATTAAACCTATGAGCTTCACCATCCTTTTTTGATCTCAGTTCTGAAAGTCTCACTAAGTTGTCCAGGCTGGGCTCAAACTTGTAATCTCTTCTCTCAGCCTCCCAGAGTTCTAGGATTATGACACTAGGATTATGAAAGGCATGTGCCACCATGCCCCGCTGATTTAACCATTTGATCTTTTTCTTTTTAAAGTCCTTAGATGGAAAAGCCATCAAAGTGGAACAGGCCACGAAACCATCATTTGAAAGCGGTAGACGAGGACCACCTCCACCTCCCAGAAGCAGAGGCCCTCCTAGAGGTCTTAGAGGAGGAAGAGGAGGAAGTGGAGGAACTAGGGGACCTCCCTCACACGGAGGGCACATGGGTAATGATTTTACAGTGTTATCTGGGGCTGCAGACCCACATTTTATGGGTTAAGTGTTAAAAGATAAAGCCTTCCGGCCTTCAATTGTGAACACTTTTACGTGTTGACGTGTTTATGACTTAAAAGGAAAACATGGAAGGCATTTAAAGTTAAACTGTGGTGTTGAGCTGGTTCACTAGCAATTCCTCAAGTTTTTTCTGTAGAAAAAGTACTCAGAAAACTCATACCCATTGTGTATAATAAAAAACTTCGTGATAGCTTTACAATTACTTTTCATTAGTATTTTCCTAGTCTGTATAGCTTCATGCTTATGTAGATGCAGTTGAAAATGTTTTGTACTGGTATTGAGCCCTGTGCCTAATGGATTCTAGGCAAGCACCCTAACTGAGCTTCATCTCTATCTCCTGTAATTGAAAACTAAAGCTACATGCACCAACTAAATAAAATGTAGTGTTTTTTCCTGATTTCTTGTGATTATTAACACTGATTTCTTTTCTATTCCAATGTAGATGATGGTGGATATTCTATGAATTTTAACATGAGTTCTTCCAGAGGACCCCTTCCAGTGAAAAGGGGACCACCACCACGAAGTGGGGGTCCTCCTCCTAAAAGATCAGCTCCATCAGGACCAGTTCGAAGCAGCAGTGGAATGGGAGGAAGAGGTAAATGTTGGATGTTATTAACATAAGGAACTAAGACTCATGAAATGGATTTCAGGTATCTAGTACACCTGAGTAATGAGCATGAATAGATTTTGAGTGGGAAATTTTATTTTTTTATTTTTATAGAACCGGGGATTGAACTCAGGCCCTTGCGCTTGCGAGGGAAGCGCTTATTCTTGAGTGGGAAATTTTAGAGAAAAACGTACTTGATTTGATCAACTGCATAGTACTATACTTTTAAAAAATTTTTAGTACATGTTTTAAGTGTGTGCAGTAGTTTTAAGTACATACAGTTTAAAGTACTCTTGGTTAGTGGGTATGTGTGCATAGCACAGCTTATTTTTAAAGTCAACTTGCCTGCCCCCCCTCATATTACCATGTTTAATAAGTTCCTATTCATATCCTGAATGCGTATTAAACTTTTTTCTTTTGGTACTGGGGATTGAACTCAGGACTTTGCCTTGCCAGGCAAGTGCTTATGTGGCTGAGCTGTCTCCCTGGCCCCTGAATGTCTATATTTTATTTTTTCATTTTTTTTGTTTTATGTATTTTGTACAGAGTTTCACTACACAACCCAGACTCATAGTGATCCTCCTGCTTTCCGCCTCCCAAGTGTTGGGATTACATATGTGTGTCACCACACCGGGTTTCATGGCTGGCAAAGCACACTTGGGATTCTGGCGCCCTACACAGCATGCTGTGCAAGGGATTGAACCCCATTCCCAGTGCTTTGTCTGCTGTGCTATCTCACTGGCCATGAATGTAGATTTTAGATTACTGCTTTGGCTAGGTTGTTGTTGTTTTTTTTTTGGGCGGAACCGGGGATTGAACTTGGGCCCTTGCACTTGCCAGGGAAGCGCTTATTCCACTGAGCCATCTCCCCAGCCCTGTTGGCTAGGTTTTTTTGTGGGGGACAGGTACAGGGCTCTTTGAGACAAGAACTTGCTGTACAGTTCAGGCTGGTCTTGAGCTTACTTTGTAGCCCAAGCAGGTTTGAACTTGCAAGGATACTCCTGCCTCAGTCTTCTGAGTGGTGGGGTTCTGGTGCAGGGAATATAGGTATGTACCACCACACCCAGCTTGTTTGGCTAGGTTTTTATAAAAATGATTGTATTTCTTTAAGCCCCTGTATCACGTGGAAGAGATAGTTACGGAGGCCCTCCTCGAAGGGAACCCCTGCCTTCTCGCAGAGATGTTTATTTGTCTCCAAGAGATG